CTGTAAATCTTGACTTGAGTTTGTTTTCATTTTATTCAGGCTGTCAGATACCCCTTCAGAGCTAATTTCTGAGACCTGGTATATATCACCCTGTCCCTCTGCGTCATGTAAGTGCAGATATGTGCAGCCATTGTCCATCCATCCATCTGCCACCTGGTTCCAAGTCATCAAACATGGCACTTAAAAAAGACAGGTATTCATTTAATCATACTGTAGGTCTTAATTCATTTGGAAAGACTCCACTGTAGACTGAATTTTGATCATGTATTTGTTTTATAACGTATTATTCCTGGTCAGTTAGGTAACAGGATGATTGGTTGATCATTCTGAAGTTTACAGGCATTACAATGGCATTATCAGGCCGTCGATTTCCGGACAAAGATCCAGGTATAAAAAGTTTAATCCTTATAATGATACTCTGTGTGTATTATACCGTTGCTGTTTTTATAAATATAAAATCAGCAAGTTTAAAATTCAAATTATTACTCAAGTGTAAAAAATTATTCTACAGGTTTCTTTGTTTTAAAATTTGGATATGATACAATACATATATAATACACACGTTGATTTAACACTCAAACTGAAAAAAAGAGGTCAACCAGGCACTTTTCACCCAAATCATTGTTCAAGTCAGCAAAATGAGGATGGCACATGACGTTCAGATGTTATTTGGGTTGTACCATTCTTCCTTGCTGTGGGGACTTTTGAAACTGGAAAAGTGGATTATTTTGTATAGTAATTATATGACCTTGAAGTAGTGGCACTGGCAGTATACAGTTCTCCCCTACGGACTGAACAGTGCCCCGGGCCCTTACAGCACCGCATGGATAAAGTCCAGAGACACCACATCACTTCTTGACCAATGCCTGCAATGCAGTGAGCATCATTTCTTGTGCAGTACGTAGAAAAGCTAAAGGAAGTGATGTCATTCAGGAGCACAAACAAGGCTCCTAAATGGCTATATTGTTTATAAATGTCTTTTTGATGTGGTGATTTTGCAGGGAAATAGGGAACTATAAAGGAAATTTTGTTCCTCTTGGCCACCCAAAACTTAATGAGAGATCAGTGAGAGAAAAATTTGCCAGTCATGAAAAATTTACCTCGGTGACAAACGCACGCTAAACATAACCGATTACTGAACATACTGAGTAGAGCTTTTCCAACATAAAAATTTGCAGTAAGATATGGTTCCAAAGAACTTTTGTTACTCAGATACTACAGTCATATATCTTATTCACTTTTCCGAATACATATATTCATTAATATATATGCATTAAGGAAAGTCATGTCAAAGATATTCTTCTAAAATATTAATATGCTGACATAATATGCTAGCGTCTGGCTTCCTCCTCATTATCTTCTAGAATGTTTGCTGTTCCTCCATTTTTATAAAAAAAAAAGTGAAGACACCACAAGGCTGTAGCAGCAATGGTCTGCGAAAGGATTTGCAGGGATTTTAACCACAGCTCTAACATGTGGCTCTTCCTGAAGCACAATGTTTGAATGATATCTATAATTTATGAATCAATATTATTACATCACTGTGACCCTGAGCAGGATGAGCAGTCATAAAACAAATGGAACATTATTACATGTTTAAACATGTTTGTTATAATCATTTTGGGGGTACTGTATGGAATGCTGCGGTGCCCCTGAAGAGAGGTTTAGGAACTGAAGCTGTGGTCTTCTGACCATCCAAAATATCTGTGACAGAAGCAATTGTTATAGATATACCATCTACTAGAACATTTTTTTGGGACACAGCACTGTGTGTGTGTATATATACAGTATATATATATATATATATATAAAAACATGAAAGTTACTTTTTGTTTGGTTGCTGTTTGTATTCACGTAGAGTGCTTGGTGGGAGCAAAGACTGCGGAGCTCTCCACAGTGCTTCTGATGGACCCATCATTAGTTTGCTAGGCGAGGAACCTGTCAAGAAGAATTGATCAAGCATGAAAGAAACTGCAGGGACTGAGCTAACAATGTGCAATCCCCCTGTCATCCTGTGTTTAAATTGTGCATTTATTTGCAGTTGTTTCTATGAAAGCGTCGCAATAGGACTTGTCCATGCGTGTGCGAGAATTTGAGATATCCGGGTGTCTGTTCTGATAAAATTCAAAGCATTCCTACAGCTTCATACAGCTAGATATTCATAGAGGTATTTGGTGTGTGGCACAGTATACAATCAGTACTTCTAACACATGCCAATTTATTCATAAATGAATATTTTATCATTGTGTTCCTAATACAAAGGCTGACTTGACAATGCGCTCTTGTTCGTGATTTAAAAATCCTGCATAGCCAGATAGTGAACCCCTCACCTGAAATTTGTTTGCAACCAATCAGGCACTTAGCCAGTTACTAAAGGAATGAGTATTAACCCCCTTGTAATTTCTTGAGTGGGACCCCTCAGTCGGCACAATCTGCTGAACCCCTATGTATGTGAAAAATCACTATTGTTAAGACACAGATCTAATTTTCTAGATGTGCAAAAGATCATTTAAATTGCTGCATAAATTAGACTAGAATTCACAAAATATGTGGGGCTGTTTTGTGTGTGCCATGATGCTCTCTAGAAAAAAGTGTATTTCTCCTTCCAGGTGGAGTCAGATTCTGTTCTTGGTGAAGGAGGTGATGCAGGCAGGGGTCTTACAGGGAGGCTGACAGCCGGATCGGTAAGCTGGCTGCAGTCGGTCTGTGTCGGCGAAGCAGGCAGGGGTCTTACAGGGAGGCTGACAGCCGGATCGGTAAGCTGGCTGCAGTCGGTCTGTGTCGTTGAAGCAGCCAGAGGTCTTATAGGGAGGCTGACAGCTGGATTGGTACCCTGGCTGCAGCCGGTCTGTACCAATGAAGCAGCTAGTGGTTTTACAGGGAGACTGACAGCCCGATCGGTATGCTGGTTGCAGTCGGTCTGTGCTGGTGAAGCAGGGGCTAAGGTATCAGAGGAGCCCCTACTGTTCAGGGTGTGTTCCTGTTCTCACCTGTGGTCTCAAGCTGTGGGTAATGAGCAGTAATGAAAGGTCCCGGATACAACCAGCCAGAATGATGTTTTTCTGCAGTGTCACGCTCTCCATGACAAGGTCAGGAGTCTGGAGATCAGGAGTGACCTCAAAATACAGCCCCAGAGCAGACCCCAGATACATTATATCTCCCAGACGGCTTTGGAAGATCTGGGGATCAGCCAGAAAAAGCAATACTGTGCAGACCTGGAAAAAGAGGCGAGGTCAGACCCACTCAATGTGCTACTACCAGCAGGAGATGCATGACGGTGATGACGACAATGATAATGATGATGGTGATGACGATGATGATGATGATGACAATGATAATGATGACGGTGATGACGACAAAAAATACAATGAAATTCTTATTTGCATGTCTCGTCTCAGCCGAAATATTTCGGTAGTTATCATTTACTAAAATGCATTCTAAATTAACTTTTGATGTATTATTTAATATTGTCTATATTGGCTTCTGATGTACTGTGTAATACTTTGTATGTGACTAATGGCAAAAGTTAAGTGATATGTTCTACTGGCTAATTTTAGCGCTGAGTTTAGAAAATATTGAAAAATAATGATTTGAGCATGAACCAACAACACTCAGGTGCATCTTAATGTTTCATCATGCCACCTATTACATAATAACGTGTAGCCACAGCTTAAAAAAATAGATAAATGGAGCGACAAGTAAACAGCTAAAGAACAGAAGAGAAAGCCAGACATGAGGTATGTCATGGATCCACGATGGCTGAATGTGTATCTTGTGATTTACTCTTCGCGAGTTGGAGTAGGGCCAGTTTAATGGCCTGTAACTGTGGGGGTTTAGCCACAGCTGACAGCTGAGCACACGTTAGAAACCAGTAGCTTAGCATGACTCCATAGGGATGTCAGTATTTCTGTGAGTTATGGCTATAAGAAAAGTGTGTGTGTGTGTCTGTGCGTGTGTTTTAAACCTGCCAAATGCACAAACCTCATCACTGCTCATATCCTGTGGTGCAACATCACCAAAGCTGCCTGGGTGGTTTGCACGGATCCATCTTCTGGTCATAGTTCTACACGGATATTTAAGTTAGAGTTTTGTTCAGTGCAGAGAAACTCAATTTAAAGTGACAAAACAACACAGAGAGAAAGATCCACTGTCTCAAAGATCCACTGCCATATTAAGCTTGCTAACAGTTGTACTTTGACGGTCATTTCAAAAGCTCTGACATTTTGAAATTTTTGAGATAAAGTTGTTGCCAAGATTTCAAAGAACTATGGTATGCTGTATTTCTGTAATACAACCCAAGCCTAGTAGCAAATTCACTAGACTGCTAGTATTTGTGTTTGTCACAATACACATGCCCTTTGCTGGTGTGGAGTGCATGTACACAACCATGCGTGGACCACAGTGACAGACGGAAAGGTGAAGTATGAACTTGGCTTAACACACCACTGTTAGCATTGCTGGGTGGTGATGTCATATGTAATTTACACAGCAAACCGTAAAAAAAGCCACGAATCGATGACAAAATTCATTGTCAACAGTTTTTATTACTGATTATTATCGATGTTATTGATTAGCTGTTGCAGCCCTAAAATTAATTAATTGATAGTTTATTATCCGCACGGAGCGGGGAAGCAGGAGTCGGGTGAACAGGGCATTTAATGAGGATAACACACTGAGGAACACGTAACCACAGCACAGCGCTAACACGCTAATGACCGGACTGGAGAAACATAGTCTAACGCGGACTTAAATACACAAGACGAATTGGACACAACTAGGAACAGATGATAACATCGGGCTTCCACACGAGGTGAATGAGGGGGCGTGGCAAATGGGAAGATCGGACGACCGGGACCTGACACGTCTTTCTAGAGGTTTCTATTATGTAGTACAATAGTCATGGAAAATGAAAAAAAAAACAGCATTTTACAGCCATTAATTTATTTTATTTTTTATTCTTTTGTTTTTATAACAAGATTAATATTCATGTTTATGATGCACACAAGTTATGGGCCTCTATCTGTGAGAGTATAGTACTTTGATGTCTTGTAACCTAAAGTAGCATATTGATGAAATACAAAAGTTAGAAACTACAGGTAAAAGCAGTAGCACAATTTGATGTTTTCTTAGACCCCAAACTAGGAATAGTGTTTAAGTTCTTTCAATATTTCTTTGTTGTGATTTAATGGATGACACAGACAAAATTAGCTATACCTTCCACAATTACTCATTATAATTTTATTGATTAAATTAAATTGTGCAGGACATAGGATTGTTTAATAATGGCAGAAGTTTCTGGCAAAAGTAAAGGATTAAAAACAGTCATAACTTAGAACTTTTGGTAAGACAGAATAATGAAAAAAAGTCTTAAGAAAACCATTTACCCTTTGTGTGGTAGTTCTACAGAAATGGTAAAACAATGAGTTTGCCATTAGGCATGAATAAGCACTTAGTGATTCTCATATTCCTGATCCAGCTAAAAGAAGGAAAAGAGGAAAAGAAAAACAGTGGGATCTATCTATACCCTCACCATGGGAGATTTGAAACTGATTAAAAGAAGAGAAAAGGGAAAAAAAAACTTATGACTGCTTAAAGCTGATTAACCGACAGCCTATACTGTCTATACCAGGTAGCCAATCTTATCCGCAAAGGGCCGGTGTGTATGCAGGTTTTTGGGATAACCTGTAGGTCAGCTGTTCAAACCCAGGTGTGAGGACTCTTCAGCCAATCAGTCCTCTAATTATTAAGCTAATTAGGCAGGTGCAGCAAAAACCTGCAGACACAGTGGTCCTTTCTGGATTAGATTGCCCACCCCTGGTCTATACAGTACTGATGAAATGCTTACTATGGACAGACTGACACATCAATAAATTGTAATAAATACCCCCCCCCCCAACCTTTATGATCCAGGTTATAGTAAACAGAGACCCACGTTCCTCCTTCTTCAGTCCCACCTGAAATCATGTCCAACCGTTTCATAAAATTTTATATTATATGGTCTATAAAAGTCATGCAGCTGTTCGATGATGTCCTGGTCGATCTGTACGTGAGGCCTCCCTTTCGACTTGCCTAGACATCGCGGTGAGCTGCTACTCTCTGGCTTCTTCAGGCAGGGGAAGCCTTTAGTCTTGTTAAAATAAAAGTGCTTGTCTGTGACGATGCGTTTGAGCCCCAGGAAATCCTGCACCCGGCCCAGCTCTCCGGCCGGATCCGTGATCAGCCGCTCGCCACTGACGAAGTGCATCTGGGAGAGCCGGAAGTACTGAAGCCAGTTCTCCAGGTGTAGCGTGTAGAGGCCGATGCGGATGGCATTCCAGGAGGTGTCCACCGTCCCCAGGCTCCTGTTCTTAAAGGCCAGGTCTTCGAAGCTGGGGATGTCGGGCTTCTTGGATAGGGTCTGGGTGTAGTCTGAGATAGCCCTTGTCACAGGGTTGCGAACTACCACAATCAGCTTGGTGTCCCGGGACATGCTGGAGATCCGTCTCGGAGCCTCCAGTGTCACAAAATAGCTGGGCGTCTTCTCCATGGTGATCTGGCTGTCCAGAGTCCTCGGCATCAAGCCCCTGCACGTGGAGAGCAGAAATCAAGAAAAAAGGTCAATTTTACATGCTCTACGATATAAACTGAAAAATTTCAGTATATATAGCTAATCTATTTGCTCTATTAGCGTATTCAGTCTTCGTTTGACAAGTGTTCTTACTTCATACAACATATTAGGGCCAGATCGAGGAAAACAACGAATATGAGTAATAGAAGTCATAATATTACGAGAAAAGAGCCATCATTTATGAGAATAAACTCATAATAGTACAAGAATAAAATTGTAACTTTAGGCTGTCTGTTATTTTAGAGGGGAGATATAAGAAGGCTACGGAAAGCTTCTCCCAGACCAGCGGTTTCAGAAAGTGGGGGGAGAGGGGGTCGCAAGATGATTTGCGGAATAGGTCTATAAGCATAACGTGAAAAATATCTTATTTTAACTGTTGTAACCGGGCTACTGTCCTAGCCGACAGGAACCTTCATTTCATGTAGACTGAACCCAGAAAACACCTGAAAGTGAGGCATCTGTATGGTGTTGTCATATCAGACGATTCACCTCCTACAGACAGCTCACATCTGTATGTTGTCATATCAGACGATTCACCTCCTACAGACAGCTCACATCTGTATGGTGTCGTCATATCAGACGATTCACCTCCTACGGACAGCTCACATCTGTATGGTGCCGTCATGTAAGACGATTCCCCTCCTACAGACAGCTCACATCTGTATGGTGTCATGTCAGATGATTCACCTCCTATGGACAGCTCACATCTGTATGATGTTGTCATATCAGACGATTCACCTCCAACGGACAGCTCACATCTGTATGGTGTCATCATGAAATACGATTCACCTCCTACGGACAGCTCACATCTGTATGGTGTCGTCATGTCAGACGATTCACCTCCTACAGATAACTCAATGGCACTGACAGATTTCTACCATTTAAATTTTCAATTTTTTGTGTTTTTCTTTCCTTTACTCTCAATAATTGTCTTCCTTTATTTTGTGATAATTTTTGGTTGAAAATAAAATCACCTTCTCAGGGTACTGTAAATGAGGCAGAATTATAGACAGATGGTTTATTGACTAATTTCAACTAATGAGAACAAGCAACCGGCTGTTGCCTGAAAAGTCAAGTATTCAAGAAGAACCAAGCAGACAGGCATTGCATTTTCTAGAAAGCTGACTTAAAACATTTTATATTATATAGTTTGCAACACAATGAACAAAGAAGCAAACACAAACAAAAGTGTACTGCTTATATCAACAATAATGAAAATATATTTTGACATGTTTTTAGGTACTATGTGTTTTTGACAGATTAGTAGTGAATTACCAGTGAGCCTATTGTAAATTTTTGTTAATTCAAAGCTTTGCAAGTTTTTATGTTTTGAATGTGGATTAGACATAAATTGCATGCTTCTAAACTTTCTTCAAATACTAGGTGTGTAAGAACCGAGTATGTTTATCATCACTGACTGCAGCTCAGTGGCAAAATGGTAAATAAGCTAATGAATGTGTTTATTATTTAATACATTCTGGTTAAAGTTTTCAGCAATGCTGTCTCACATCACTGGGGTTGGGAGCTGAAATCCTGCCCCCAATGCGTCTGTCTGCCATTTGCGTGATTTCCCCTGTGTCACCTGAGCTGCTTCCAGGTACTCTGCTCTCCTCCCAGTGACCAAAGCCATGCAGTTAGGCCACAGTTCCTGTAGTTGGTCTGTTTTGTAATGGGCTCTTATCTGTCGCGGGTGTTTCCCCTGCCAAGTGCCCTGTGCTGCCACGGACAGCAAGGGGGTCCAGCCCCCATTGACCAGGATAAGCATTTAGAGGCAGATACAACTGACGGACCAATGGATGACTAGGTGTTCTTATTTTGGAAAAATTAAATGATCTGCAAGCCATAGAACATGCATAATTAATTTCATATTTTTATGTGAAGTAAATGTTGTGAAATTTATTGAAAGTCGAGCAGTATTCAGCTTGATGCACTTGGCCACACTCATTTTGTTCTTCCACAAATGAGAAAGTGTGAGCAAGCACTGGCCAAACCGGATCACGCCAGCCGCACTGCCAGTTTTCTGCCTGACAGGTCACGCTTCTGCTGGGCCAAACACCATGTCCCCAGTAACTGATAGGATGCATGGCTCCGAGACCAAGTGTGCAAAGTAGATGTGGAGAGAGAGAGAGGAACTGGGATAATCCAAATACAAGCAGCCATAAAAATGCTGCAAAAAACCTAGACACAGAACTGACCAACACCATGCATTAGGGTGGCCCTTATTATATAGTGAAAAAAATAAAAGTTTGAATTTTATTACTCTGACCCTCTAGAATCTTTCCTTTTATATTGAAAATAATTCCCCTAAATTTTTTTTACATTTGAACAAATTCCACAGGTTGCTCAAAGGCCAGGAACATAAGGCTGGCCAATCACGCAATAATTCTACAGATACAAAAACCAATAGCTATGAGAAATTGAGAAACATGAATCATATTTATTTTAAACTACTAAGTGACAAATCACAATTAGTCTCTGTTAATACATAGTGTAAATCAAGAAGTCTTTATCTTCAGGGATGTTCATTATATTTAGTGCATCTTGATGTGCCACATCAAAAAGATCTTCAAAATCTTCAGTAAATGCCTTCTCATTTTCAATTTGTTTAGCAGACCTTCTGTATGCATTCTTCTTTAAAGCCTGATATGTCTTGTACAGATTTTCTACTTTCTTAATCATGTCTTGCTTGTGCTGAATGGGAATTCTTGCTCTCTTCCAAAATTTCTCTACTTTCTCAACAGTATTACTTGCAGCTTGTCTTAATGGATTTTTGTTTTCAATGTGACAGTACAGAAAGTGTCCTAAAACTTGCTTCTTAGAAGGCAACTTTGCACCTGTGATATCTGCTTCAGGCGATAGCAGGTATGACTTTTGA